TTTTTTTTGTTTTCTCTCTCTATATATATGAAATTCCATCTTATATCTAGGAAATAAAAAATATATATTTAGTGCATCATCATCACTACTTATGAACATATTTCAAATTAATATCGCAAGATGTACATAAAAAAAATCCTGAAAAATCACAGAAAGAAATACACATACACATACCCGCCTAAAACTGCATGCCTTAAATCTGAGTGTACATAGACATGTTACAAGGTGTATTTTTAATAGTGTTAATTGTGGGCTATGGTCAGTTTTCAATGAAAGGTAAAGTGCAAACATTGATTCCTGTCTTACGTTTGACTAAAGAAAGACAAAAAGCATTTACACCTTGCCTTCTTTCCCTTTCTGATTAATCATGATTAATCAATATAAATCATAATTTATGACTATAACAAAATAAACTTGTATAATGCTGGGGGAGACCGACATATAGCAGCAGGTACATGCATGTTTTCAGACCTGTTTTTAATTGTGACTCATCCAAATTGTGGAATTATATATATGGGGAATAAATGTGCAAATGTAGTAAGAAAAGTTTGAACTTTGCCTCATATTGTTGGTGGATTTGAGTCTTTACTGTGCATCTTGACGCGGCTGGTAAAATGCAGAAGAGTTGCTGTCAAAACGTCGGTGAACCGCTGTCCCCGACAATATGATTCACCTCGCAAACCGTTTGACAATTCCGTCAGTCAGCTTGTCAGCCGTAGATTTACTCACCGACCTACGTTCGGTGACGCTGGTCTGAGGCAAAACCGCGCGTCTCACTTGAGTGCAAAGCTTCCACGAACGCACGCTCGATGTTGAGGGGCGTATTTTGAGCTTGAGGTGCTTTGAGGGAAACTTTTTTTCTCGCAGCGTGTGCAAATAACAGCAATAATCGACAGTGCATCGAAGAGAAGCTAAACGAGTGGATGGTGGAATTGCTGGATGTACAGTGCAGTGCAGGTTTCTGTGTATGAGATCAGCCAGGATGATGCTAGAGGAAGACG